GTTTAATAAAGGTTTAATAAAGGTAAAATAAAGGTTTAATAAAGGTTAAATAAATAAATAAATATTTTAGTCATTAGGAGCTCATTTACAAAACTAAAAGATCTGAGTTGGTGGTAAAAACGCTCAAACTTTGGCCGTTGGAAGGCGTCAATATTGTGAATGCTGAGTCATTGTTCACACATTTCTTTGGCTGTTTTTCTTTTTTCCATTAAAGTTTTAGCTGTTTATGAATAAAAACGTTCGGCTCATCCAGGATCTCTTTAAGTCCTTTAAAAACGTTTCTTCAGAAAAACCTGCTCTCTGTTGTCTTAGAATACTTTTAACCACTATTCTGCTACTTTTAAACTTTAGCTACAGCTCTTTTAATTTGTCATTAACGTTTTGCTTCTTTTAGGTTCTAGTTAGCATTTTGCTCCTTTTAGCCTCTAGTTAGCATTTTGCTCCTTTTAGTTTGTAACAAGCCGTTTGATGCTTCTAGCTTTAGTTAACGTTTTGCTACTGTGGACTTTTGGCTAGCGGTCAGCTTCTTTTAGCTTTAGCATCTCATTTTTAGCTTTTTCAACAATCTTCAACAAACTCACCTCTCAGCGATCATGTTTGTTGACAGAAATTCAACAGATTAATTTTATGTAGCCGATGGCTCCGGGAGAAGTCTCGCTCGGTTTGTTTGTTTGTTTGTCTCTTACTGACGTTTGTTTACTTTCTGAACAAACAGAACACCAGTCCCGCCTCCCTCCATCACAGCAGATACATACATGATTACCTTGGCTGGGGTGGGCGGCCTTCTGAGCCGACTGGGAAGAGGAGGCGATGGGAGAGGAGCAGCAGGAGGAGGGAGGAGGCGCAGCAGCAGACGGTCTGGTCTCCTCACTGATCTGACAAAAAGGATAAAAAGGACGAAGCCTTCAGAGATCTGCTGCTTCGTTAACAATTCACCTTCAACTTACAAACCTGTCAGTCAGAAACGAGTTCCTGAAGAGTAAAGAAATAAAAAAATTAAAACCATTAACTCAATGTGAGACGATTCGTTATTTAAAATCTGTAAACAGGCAGAAATAAATCATCCAGTGGGTTTACACTTTGACAGAAGCTGCAGGGTTAACCTTATGAGCAAAACTTAGGTGATATTTAGCAAAGTACTCGTTTCTACTTCCTGGTTTGTGTTAGCATCCTGTTAGCATAAAGCTAAACAACCTGTAGGGGTTTTAATGATTTCCTCAACAATCGGATTCAATTCACTGTTTACTAATTTAACTACTTTCTACTCAGACATAAAACTGTGGGTCAGCAACCATCCGACAACAAAAAACAAAAGGTTTACAAAATATTAAATCTGTTTAAACACAAAACTTTACCTCCTGATAACTGAAGCGTTACAGCAGAAACCAGATGTTTAAAAGCAGGAATGACCGTCTGGTGTCATGTCAGAGTAAAAAAACAGTTCTGTGTTTTTATACAGAGGATGGAAACATCTGGCTTCAACTGCGATTTAAAACTCCCTGTAGGACTTGAACGCCCGTCTCAACATGTCCGTCCATTTTCCTTCTCTTATCCGTGGTCGGCTCGAAGAGGTAGCAGGTCCAGGAGGGACACAGAGACCTCCTGTTCCTCATCGATGCTCTCCAGCTCCTCCTGGAGGGTCCCGAGGTTGTTTCAAAAGCTGAGACGATGCATAGACCATCCAGATGGAGACAACCACCTCAGCTGACTCCTTTCTGTGAGGAGGAGCAGTGGCTCTCCTCCGAGCTCCCCCTGGATAACGGAGCTCCTCCTCCTGTCTCCAAGGCCGACACCCCACCAAGAAGGAAGACCAGTTCAGCTGCTTGGATCCAGGATCTGGTTCTTTCAGTCCTGATCCAAACCTCATGAAAACAGGAGAGGGTTGGACCGTAGCTGACTTTGCCTTTGTTCAGACTGGAGCAACACCCTCATTACTGCAGACCAGGCCCTCATTGCATGCTGAAGGTCTCAACATATTTCCATGTTTTATATTTATAGTCTTTTTTAATTAGTTTCTTCCAACAGCATTAACAATCATCAATAAATGTTTGTGTTTATGGAAAACATATAAAAAATTATAAATAATTCTCTTCAGGTTGACACAAGCGATAAAAAAATGTTAGACCTGTGTGTGTGTTTCTTCAAGTTTAATTCTTTTTACAATTTGTAAAGTCACAAACAAAATACAGGAAGTAAAGTTTACAATAAATGTTCAAACATTAAATAAATGACAACACTGTTAAGAATATATTGTTATGGTTGTTACTGAATCTGCTTATTTAAGATTAAAGTTCTTTGCGTAGTTCCTCGTTTGCGCTCTGAACTCGTTACAGTCGGTTTAACGAACCCAAACAGTTTCTAACGTCCGATTAAAATCCTCTCAATTTGCTTTTCTGTAAAATCTGGGTTTCAGTGGACAAAAAAATAAATAAAAACATGTAAAAGTATTCAAGAACAGAATGACTCCTCAATAACCGTTTTCCTAAAAACCTTTAAAACATCAGAAATATATTTTGTCAGCGTGAAGACGGAGAAAAGAAAAACCACATTTAGGTGTAAAATGGAGTTTGTTGTTTTGTCAGGTTATAGTTGACACACTGTACACAGCTTTAATCGTTAATTCATCAGGTTTTATTCGACGAGCGTTTGAATCACACGAGTGCACAGAATAATGTTCTCTGACAGCGACAGATTAAAAAATTCAGAGGACTCATCCTCTCAGAGGAAACTGGACGGTTTTATCTTTGGTTTTAAAACAGATAATAAATTATCCATTTCTGCTGCATTGACTCACGATAAACATTATTTAAACTCTTAATGCTGTAAAAAAAAAAAAAAAAAAACCAGCTCCGTCTGTCAGAAGAACTGAGGTTAATGCTGATAGTTAAAGTGTTCTCCAGAGTCTGTCTGCGTCAGCGTGACGGCGGTTACCTTCTTGTCGCCGCCGCTCATTCGATCTTTGGCTTCTTTGGCTTTCTGGATGGCTTTCAGCACCTCCACCGTGTCCAGCTCCTTCTCCGTCGTCAGACTACAGTCCAAACAGACCTGACGGGACACGCAAAGGTTCAGAACAAACCCGTCAGAGAGCCTGCAGACCTGCTGATCCTGGCTGCACGCTCTGCAGGACAACATAAACCTAGAGACGTGTCACCCGCCGCGTTAAATTAATGAAATCTCTGCCGGCGGTTTGGTGGGGTACCTCGGCTGCACGGTCTCCGAACTGGGCCAGGACTTTGGTTCTGTAGTCAGGGATGATGCACATGGGGTTACTGGAGAGGTTGAGCTTCTCCAAACACGGCAGAGCGCCGATATTCTTGATTTCCTCCAACTGGAAAAGTGTCACAAACCATCAAAATTAGCTCCATCTAAATCACGTTGGTGCCCAGATTTCTAAAGGGACAGTTCAACCTTTTAAAGGCGGGGTTATGTGGAAAAATAATCAGCATGGACACATAGAGTTAACTTTTGAAATGCTATTATTGTTTGCAGCTTAACTGCTTGTTAAAATTTAATTTCTATTTTCTTATTCAGACAAACGTGATTTTTTTTTATGAGCATGTTCTATAGCAGGGAAAACTCATATTTAATGCGTAAATATTTGATGGTGACATCAACATAAACTTCACACCAGATGTCAGAAACATTGACCATAAATTGGGTTCTGATTAATAAAGTAGAATAACAGATCAGAACTGAACAAAATGGCAGCTTTGTGTCTCCTGTATTGAGAAACTGGCCCCATTCTTCTACACAAACTGTTTTTAAACAATGGGGGTCCTCTCCCCACTCTGATCTGATCCGACTCTGATCTTCAGCTCTTTCCACAGATTTTCAATCTGATTTAGGTCGAGTAACAAACCGGGCCGTTTCAGATTTATACTCCCTCTCTGAAAGAAGTGAAGTTTCCTCTGGATCATTGTCCACTCTGGTTTTGTCTTCAGGTCAAACGCCAAGAAAAAAGCTGGCTCTTCTTCAAACACTTTAAAGTCTCAACAGTCTTTAAATGATCAGGTGGATTATTCCACAGTTTTGGAGCAGCAAACGCCAAAGCCCGATCACCTGTGGACTTCAGTCAGTTTGGGTCTACGAACATCTTGAAAAACTAGTTGGTTGACCCGAGTGCACTTAATGGAGCGTAGACGTTAAGATGACATGATGCAGGTGCATCTCAAAAAATTAGAATACAGTAGTCCCTCGTTTATCACGGGGGATCCCTGCGATAAGTGAAAAACCACGGAGTAGGAATAGTAGTACAAGAAGTAAGTAGTAGTTTATCTTAGAATATTTATATATATATATAATATATGAAGACATTTTAAATCTTTCCCATACTCTTGCAATGTTTTAAACAATGTTTCTAAACTCTCTAAAAGAGACAGAACATCATGATTTCAGCTCCCTGCCTCCTCTGCTCTTGCCACCTGCAAGCGCTCTTGGCCACGCCCACTTCTCCGCTCTGCAAGGTAAGCAGCTGATCAGATGCAGCAGGAAGTTTATCCCCAAGCACGTTCACCCTGTTCTACAATGTCAACACGGTCGCCCCTCATCCTCTGATCCAGGTCCTTCTGCGAGGGTCCTCTGGGCCTCTCAGTGATGTGCTCACGATTCCTTGTGACGTTGCTGGTATTAGTCATCCAGTGCTTTCAGCACCGCCCTCTGGTGGTCATCTGGGATTCATAGAACCGTACTTACATACGTAACTTTCGTTTTATTTTCATTTAGATTCAGGAAATTTAGTTTCAACCAGACTTTAATGTTGTTTAAACATTTCAAGAGGGTTTAGTGACCCTGTCTAACCTATTGGGCAAATAAAACTGGGCATCATCAGCAAAGCTCAATAGGATTTTATATTTTCTAAAAAAAGAACCCCAAATGCACCATAAAACGTTTAAAAAGCAGTGGACTTAAGATTCACCCTTGAGGGACCCAAGTCAGAGGAGCTGCAGACGAAGAACAGTCATCGTTCACTTTGACACCCCGTCAGAAAACGTTCTAGGAGCCACTTTATGATGGAACAAAATCCATTCCACTTGCGGATTATGGCCCCAAAGCTGCTCCCTGGAACATTCAGGGGTCTAGACATTTATCTGCGACCAGAGCCATCAGTATGTTTTCCAACGGTTAAGTGAGCTCTTTAATTTTACTCATCATGAGATGCTTATTGTGCGACACCTTTTAATAGGCCATCACTCTGGGACTTGCACATAATGGGGGCATTATTTAGCATTTATAAATGCTGACAGATTTAAGCTGACTTTGTAGCTTTTTCACCTCCTTTTCTTCAGGTGTTCAACGCTTATTTTACCTGCTGTCTATCTGTTGAGGAATTCTAGGAAACATATTTCTGTACAAACACGGTAAGGCTGGGGTTTTAAACATTTTCCTGGATGGATTTATGCCACTTGCCCACCTGAACCCCCTGGTTTGGGTTACCTGAGCCAGCTGGTTGTGGCTGAGGTCCAGGTTGACCAGAGAGTAGAGCTTGGAGAGGCCGTTCAGTTTCTCCAGCTGGTTTCCAGCCAGGCTCAGGGTCTTGATGTTCCCCAGTCGAGTGTGAGCAGCTTCCAGGACCCGAAGGCTGTTATAGGACAGATCCACGTGGACCAGGTTGTACAGGTGCTGCAACATCAAAACACGGAGTTGAACCGTAACCTGGAGGTTTGTTTTGTCTGCATCTGTTGGCACGATCGTCTGTCTGCAGCAGATTTATCAGCCGAGAGGAAGTTTATTTTTAAACGATAAGTGCTCCGGTCCTCTACATTGTGTACCTGCAGGTTATCCACTGAGGACAGCTGGTTGTAGCTCAGATCTAAGAACTCCACCTTCGGGATGAGTTTCTACAACAAGAAGAAACTCGGTGTCAGAAGACAAAACAGAGAAGAAGAAATCTTAAAACGCTTGATTCAAACTCATCAGAGTGATTAAAACAGCAAAACATTTTGTCCTAAACGAACACAGTCCGGTTCTGTGTGTCTGTGGGTTCCTCACCACCGAGCTGTCGATGCTGCTGATGCAGTTGTGGCTCAGGTCCAGCGTGGTCAGGTTCCTCCACACGGGAATGACGGCAGTGACGGGACACCCGGACTCCGCTCCCTCAGGCTCCCACTGGGAGAATTCGCTCGCCTCGGGCACCAGGATCGCCTGGGGATGGGCCGCACAAAGAACACATCAGCACCGTGAGCACGAGCTCCAACATCTGAACCGTGTTTGAACCCAAACGTACCGTCATGGAATCTGTGGAGCGATGGACGCTCATCGTGGCCAGACTTGACCTCAGAGACGACAGACCCTGGATCTGCGGAGAGCTGCAGTCGCTGATCTGAAGGCAGAGACACGGACTCCAGATTTATTTATCAGAAGAACCACAACGAACAAGAGGTGCGTCGATGCCCCCGTCACTGTTTGAAGACTGGATGTTTGTAGTGTTGGAGACGAGTGTTTTTCTGGACCGGGATGGAACGGAGAATGAAGTAAACCTAAATGTCTTTGGTGGAAGATATTCCAGTGGGTAGGAGTTACACTGGGGGGGGGGGTTGTTTGTCTCGTCAGAGGCAGTAGTGGATCCTGGAGAGTGGAGTGAGCAATTTTATCCACCACCAGGAGCAATTGTGGAGCTGGGGGGGGGGGGGAGAGATGGTGGCCTTGACCCCCATAGATTAATCTGCAGCCACCCCAATAATTTGAGGACGCTAAACTTTTAAGCAATATAAAAACTAGAAAAAATACTTTCCTCAAATGATAGGCGTGGCCTGTTTATATACATATATATATATATACACATACATATATATATATATATATATATATATATATATATATATATATATACACTGTATATATGGTGGTGGCCATCTTGGATTTTGACGTGGTAACCCAATGTTCAAAAGGAACATTTCTCACATCTAGAAGCAGCATCACACCTAAATGGAAGTCTGCAGCTCGGGAGGCAACAAAAGAAAATCACCTGGTCACTGAACGAGCCGGTGTCTCACTGAGCTGCGACTAATTACGAGCAACATTCATGAAGACGTCTCCAAAACATCTCAAAATGCTCAGGAGAGTCCCCAGAGAGCTGAAAGAACCTGATCCATTAAGCAGCCTCAGCAACATCTGCACAAACATGGTCGATCTGTTCTCCGAGCATATTCCCTGTGTGGGAACACGGACTGTCCGGCTACAACAAGAGCAACAAACAAACAAACGGTGTCGTGTGTAGAGCTTTATTAAAAAGTAACGTGGCCTTCTTTCACATCGGCAAGTCGTTTTTGAGAACAAGTTATTAATAAGTCTAAGAAATTATTTTAAAAATCGGGCTCTCGTTTGGCTTTCTTGGGTCCTGACTGAGGATTGGACCTGGAGCATCAACACAGCCGAGCTGGTGAATCAGGCCCCGCAGAGACTTTGGTCCTGAGAGTCCTAAAGAAAAACTCCACTCCACAAAGTACTGCTGGTGTCATCGAGAACCTCCTGCCTCACTGGTTCTCCTGCACAACAGAAAGCCCTGACCCCTCCCTGCAAGAGCTTCAGTGACCCGGCTGCTTTAAGAAAGATGAAAGGGTTCTGCGTAACTGGACCCGCCCTGGTTACAAACTGTTTGAGCCATCAGGCAGCCAGAACTAACGGGTACCACCCCACAGCCACGGACCTTATAAATGCTGCCATGTTGATAAAAGGAGTCCAGTAACCCAGAGAACGGGACATAATTCATGTTTCTTCTTCCTATTGTGTTGAAAAGAAGAAAGCCGTGTGTGCATCATTCATAATTTTTATTTCTCCCTTTATTGTTTTTTTTATTCTTTCTTTAGGACTACGCAAACATTGTTTGTCTTGTATCGGTTATAATTAAATAAAGCAGTTCTGGTTTATTTAGTCTGTTGGCTCTTCCTCCTCGCTCCATGTTTGATGACTGACGTCGAGGCTGATGAGGTTTTATTAACAAGATGACCAGATTATCCCTTTAAACTCTAGTCCTCCAAACTGAGCTCTCTGCAAATAAAATACAAACTGTCTGAACTTTTCCATAGAAGCCACTTCAAACTGTTCAAAATTATCCTTTAAATTTGATTATTTTAAATTCAGCTGTAATAAAATGGACAGGAAGTCCTTCAAAATGAGTTTGGTTGTGAATTTGATGAAATGAAAGACCTGTGAAGTGTTTGTTGATGGATGAGGGAGTGAACGCATCAGGTTTACCTCGACGTGCAGCAGTGACTTGAAAACAGACAGGTCGAAGGTGAGGCTGCTCTCCTGGATGTCACTGGTTCCTACTGGACCTCTGGTTCCAGAAATCTGACGGAGACAAAAACCAGCTGGAGCAACGTGCAGGACTTCAGTTTTGGGGTATCTGAATCCAGTTTTTTATCACCTTGAGGTAGCGCAGCCTGCAGGTGAAGTCCAGGATGTGTCCCAGGTCCGTTTTGGCGTCTCCGGTCAGGCAGGTGGGCTTGGCCTGTCGGAGCTGCTGGGAGACGGAGTAAAGCTGCAGAGGACGAAGAGAAAACACCTCGCCGTCCTGAAGCAGCTGCTCGCCTGCAGAACATCAACAGTTAACTCATTTACAGGACTCTATTTCACAAAAACACCTGCGACAATTAAAGTTTACCCCGAACTGTAGGAGATGAAAGTAAGACTAAAACTGTAAATTAATTCAACCTTTATTTATCCAGGTTAGTCTCACGGAGTCACGAGGACTCATTTACAGACTTGTTTTAAAATGCTCACGTCTTCATTTATTTCTCTGCAACCAGAAGGGTTTAAAATAGAAAGTGGAGACGTGCATTTTATTGCTGAATGATTTTATCTCAAATCTGCTGAAAATGTTTCATCACTAAACTGTTGATGGGAGCTGAACCTGAACAGCTGACATTTGCTGAAAGCTGGAAAACAAAATCTGAAAGCAGCAGAAAAACAGCAGAATAAGCTGAAATAGGCAGAGAGGCTGAATAAATTACAAAAACAGCTGAAATTATTTAAAACAAAAAACTAAAATGAGAAGAAAAACATGAAATCAGCACAAAAAAGCACTGAAAACACTAAAAAAAGTTTTAAGTTGTAAAAAGAGGAGAAGAAGAAGGAGAAATGAGCAAATACCGCAGAAAAAAAAAGCTAAAATTAATTAAAAAACAACCAATAACTAATTTGTTGTTTTTTAACTAATTGATTAACTAATTGTTAACAGAGCTCAGGAAACGAGCGGTTCTGGAGGAGACGGACCTTCATGAAACAACTCCTCAGCCAGCGCTGCGGTGATGCCGTTGATCTCCTGAAAGAAAAACAACATTTACATGTTGATTTTTAACAACAAATATATATATATATATATATATATTTATATTTATATACAGTATATATATATATATATATATATATAATTATTATTATTATTATTACCCCGTGACCCAAAATGGAATAAGCGGACAAAGATAATGGATGGATATTATTATTGCTCCCTGTCAAATCAAGAACTGAATTCAAAATCTTACTTCTAACCTACAAAGCTCTCAACAACCTAGCTCCATCTTATATTGCAGATCTTATTGTTCCATATTTTACTAACAGAGCACTTCACTCTCAGACTGCAGGTTTACTTGTGGTTCCTAAAGTTTCCAAAAGCAGAATGGGAGGAAGATCTTTCAGTTCTCAGGCTCCTCTCTTGTGGAACCAACTTCCAGTTTCTGTCCGTGAGGCTGACACATTGTCCAGTTTGAAGACTGGACTTAAGACTTTCCTTTTTGATAAATCCTATAGTTAGGGTCGGCTTGGGTTTCCTGAGCTGTCCCTTAGTTATGCTGCTATAGGCTTAGACTGCTGGAGGACAAACTGACCACACTTTTTCACTCTGCTACTGTCTTTACTTACTCTGCTCAACCTGTTTTGTATTTGTAATTATTTTTTCTATCCTTGACGTGTGTTTTTGTCGTTCAGGTACACCTGGACCTATATGTGGACCTGGACCTACCATTCTGTGTTCGTCTGTCTCTCCTTCCTGTCCTCTCAAACCAGCAGATGGCCACTTGTCCTGAGCTGGTTCTGCTGGAGGTTTCTTCCTGTTAAAGTGAGTTTTTCTTTCCACTGTCTCCACTGTGCTTGCTCAGGATGGGAGACTGCAACGAAGCCAAGATTCAACTTGTCTGCTGGATTCCTCAACTTTACTAATTGTCTTTTATGTGAATGTTCCTGTTCAGTGCCCTGAGACAACTTTGTTGTGATTTGGTGCTATAGAAATAAACTGAATTGAAATTGAATTGAATTTAAGGTTTAAATAAGGTTTTAGGTCCTGTTTGGGTTTAGTTTCCACAAGAAAAGAGAAAGAGAATGCCGGGGGGAGGTTGTTTTGATGCAGAGGAACGTGACTTCACTGAAACTGTTCTGGTCATTCAAGTTCTTCAACCTCTTCTGCTCCAAAAACCAAAAATTCCCTAACATTTGGAGCAGCCAGGTTTTTTTTGTTTTTTAAACGATCTACTTGTTTTTCGTGAGCACAGCCGGCAAAACTGCATTCATGGCTGCGCACATTATTTAGTTGCCCACATAAAAGCCCACTTTGGAAGACGCCTCACATTTATGATTTATAATAAACTTTTGGAACGAAGCTTGGCTTGGACCAGTTCTTTAGGTGTATTATTTATTTATTTTTAGACATGTTTTCTGTCCGAGACGAGCTCTCACGCAGGTGTCAACATGCAGCTTTACTGTTTTTGGAGACACCTGCCACGAATCTGTGACTGTTTTAAGAGAAAATTTGTCACACTCATTTTTTTGAACATGTTCTGAAGTTAAGTGAACCTCTGAGACTCAAGAATATTTAGGGACACTAAAAATGTTTGGAGTCCTTTTGGAGACTCTCACAGTTTGAAACCAGCCTCCTCCAGCAGCTGCAGCCTTGAGAGATCCGGCTTGAAGTTTTCCTTCCAAGTAGACGGAGCCTTCTGTCATTTTTCAGAGCGGTCCTGGTCAGTTTTGTTTTCCAGGTTTTGTTTAAATTAAACTTCTGAAGACCTTCAGAAACCTGAAGAACTGTAAAAAATCTAAACTAGAAAAAAACAGGGTCAGGACTTTTGAACAGTTCATCGGACTTTGTTTTGTTCCGTTCAACCTCAGGCGTTACTCACGTAAAGGTGAAAGTTCAGGAAGGAGGCCAGCGGAGTGGGCGTGGCCTCTGGAAACTGCTGCAGCAGCGTTTGGAGGTAAAGCTCCAGCTCTTTCTGTCGCCGCTCCACCAAACTCTTCGAGTTTTTACCCAAAATCTTTTTAGGAGGAAGCAGCCGTCGATCGACCTTCTTCTCTGCCGTCAGCTGAAAACAACACGCGTCACAACGTACATGAAGCAGAAGCTCAACGTCGCTGGGTTTTGAGAAACCGAGGAAGTATTTCTGATGATTTCATGGTGTTCGATTATAAAAACTTGAATTTATTTATAGGAAAGCATTCGCAGAAAATTGATAAACAAAGTAAAGAAATAGAAAACATTGTTTAGATGATTACACAAACAAAATAACACATTTATGGTTGGAATGAAGCAAAGATTAGACAAAATGTGACGCTCTAATATTGTTAACATTTTAAATAAAAGTTTAGCTGCACAACTACTTCAGAAAAAGCATTTTATTGTCTCTAAACACTTCAAGTTCATAAACAATTGTTCTCTTAAATGTTTCAAAGCATCCAAAACAATTTATTCACAAACAAAACTTAAAATATAAATAACAATAAATATAAAATAAACTTTTAAAGCACCAAAACTAAACTGAACCGAGTCTCGTACCTTCTCGTGGAGGTCGTAGAAGTCGCTGTAGCGGTGCTTCACGGTCCATCGGTGCCGTCCATCCGTCACGTCGATGATGTAAACCTGAAGAACAAAGTGACTCAAACATGACTGAAAATCTATAAATACCTCAACATTCTAGCTATGAAGGAAACTGCAAAAGTAAATAAACCACATCTGGATGACTTGACAAAAAAATTATACAAAAAATAATTAAAAAAAGATGTTTAAACGGTGACTCGGTCATAAAAAGCAGCATCAGGAAAGATCAACTGATCTGATTCTATCCACCAGTTCTGTCTCGTAATTTATTTAATCGTGTCAGAAAGCTTTAATTTTACCTTTATTTAAAAGGTATATCTGAAGTTTTATCATTTTTTAATTCGCTTTTAATATTAAGATTCATTACATATCCATTTTGTCTCTTTATTGTCAATTTTACTAATTTAATTTAAAATTATTTTACACTTGGAACGGTTTCAGATAATTTTTTTATTATTATTATTTATTGCTCAGTCACTTCACTCTGACCTATGACCCACTGGCCTGCTTGAAATTAAAATCATAGATTTCTGGACCAATCCACCAGTATCAACCACCCCCAGAACCAGTGGGACTCCAGATCAGCTCATTAAACTGGTGACCAACCGGCACACTGGTGGTCGACAAACTGCAGGAAAAGGTGGCGTTAAAACTACTCAACTACAGCAACATAAAGGAGCACGAGAAGCTCCAGAAGAGGAGGTGGCAGAGGAGTGGCAGAGAACTCTGGGTTGAGACGATTGCTTCAAAGGAGCCTAAAAATAGAATTATATGCAAGAAACAAATAAAGTAGAAGCTGCTGCCTATTTTTTATCTGTTCAGTGAGATTATTGGAGACGAGATGAAGGATGTTGGTGGATTTAATGAGCGAACAATAGACGAGAGTTCATGGAGAGGAGTCTAAAGGTACATAAAGACTCAAACTGCTCCACAAGCTGACCTCGGATACAGAGGGGGTGAAACAAGTGGTTTTGTCTGGATTACATTTAAATTCAAAGAGTCCTCAGGAAATGTGTGGACCAGGTCGCTGACCACCTGCTTGTACCAGGTTAGGGACCGGTGTCAGTGAAGTGAGCCAGCGTTGGAGATCTCTGTCCAGAAGAAGAGAGGTCATATCTGAAACACCATGAAGCACCATCATGTTCCCAACTGTTTGGATCAGGAACCACAACCTGAAGGATAATTTGCCCACACGTCAAACCAGTGGGGGAGGGGTTGTTTTAATACTTTATACAACTTTAAGCATTTATTACAGCTGAACTTTTTGATTTTTTATTCTTTCGGCTGCCACGGGGTCTCCACAGTGTTTTTACGTCGGATGTCCTTCCTGACACGACCACGGACCACCGAGCTACCACAGCCTGTGTGGAGCAGAGCTGCCATCTGGGGTGCCCCAGCGGATGGTGGGGGTTAAGGGCTTTGCTCAAGGGTCCAGAGGGTGGAGACAGGTGTGGGTGCTTCACCTGTCCCACCCACATTAATACATCGATCTGGGGCATCAAACCAGTGGCCTTCCAATCGCAGGCCCGCCTTCACTAACCTCTGCGCCACCTCTCCACAACAGAACAAAAAGGCAAAACAAAGTCTGTAACAAGGTTGTTTTATTATATTTTGTAGCTCAATGAAAGTGTCTACACGTGACACTATAAACAGCTGTAGTCCAGCTGTTTCTGAGCCGATTGAATGTTTTAAATTAGTAACAAACAGGATATTTACAGTCATTTTTATTTAATTTTTAAAAATCATTTTGGATTTTAAAGTGATCTTGGTTCAAACACCCACAATGTTGCGATTTTAAACAAGTTTTTTAAAATACTAGAAGTGTTTTGATGTTAAATATCTCACGCGAGATTTAAATTAGACCCAAATGAACTCGTTTGTCTCGGAGGTCAAGAAAATCTCGAAGTGTCCAAAACCCCGAACCTGAACGAACCTTCAGTCAGAAAACACGGAAACAAACGTGATAAAATACAGGACGGTCACAAACGAGAGACTCAGTGATTTTAGGAGGATTAACTGAACACCATCCGTTTGGACTTGAGCTAGCTAACACCGTCCGGGTCTTACCGTGTAGTTCTCCACCAGTTCCGAACCGACCACACACACTTTCCTCTCCAGAACCTCTTCCGGAAACGGAACCGGCTCCATATTCAAAGCAGATTAATAATATAACGTATAATGTTAAAATAAACTCTATTTTCTTATAAAAACAGCGTCACGGAACATGAGCAGCTCTCCTCCCACCGCCGCCATGTTTGTTATGATGCTGCGGGTGACCGATAAAAAAAAACTTTATTTAAAATCTCTCTTTGACAAACAGGAAGTGTTTAAACGAAATTTTTTTTTTTTACGCCACAAACACAAGCACTGTACTACGTTACAGTCACTCCACATTTCTTTTAATTTTAATAAATTTCAAAGAGTTTTTATGGAAAAGCAAATCTCTATACTTTATGTAGAGCTTGAGATAAACAAACACATGTTTGACGTCATAACGCCCTTAAAACAACAACTAAACGAAAATGCAAAAGAGGTGTATGGAAAAACTGCATCCAGTCCCTGATCCAGCAGCTCACAGAACCTTTTTTGGCAGCAATATCTCTCAGTAGTGTTTTTTTTAGGACTTTTGGTCTGCCACGTGGTCGGAGAGGAGTTTTGTCCCACTTTTCTTTCAGTTCATTGAAGTTCTTGATGCAGACCCCACCTCATCATTTCAGTCAGGTTGAGGTTTAGTCAAGTTTCAGGTTCTTTTTGACCCTTTTGTTGATTAGCTGCTGTGCTGTCTTGTTGGACCCAGTTTGGATTAAGCTTCAGATGTCAAACAGATGGACTCACATTTGTCTTCAAATCCTTTTGTCTGCAGAGCTTCTGTGAAGTGTTTGCTGCAGTGCATTCTGGGTAAACATCTGTCCTTTGGTCTGGCTTTTGCTGCAGAGCATCAGAGTGAATCTGGACTGGAACGGAGGAAAGCTGCCATTCTCTGATCCTGATACAAACACACACACACCTTCACACACACCTTCACTGACAAGATGTTTCCATTGTCTGCTTTCCGATGGGCAAAGGTAACCACTGGAGGTAGCGATAAGCACCTTTGCTTGCAGGGGCTCCACCCCTGTTTAATGATGGACGATTTCTTTTCACAAAGATGGCCTCCTTTACTCCTCTCTCAAACCATCGTTCCTCTCTGTCCAGGAACATCTTCATCCTTGAAAGAGTGACCTCTGGCCTGGAGATGAGTGTAGACATCACAGTCTTGGCCTGATGATGTTGCTAAAGGATGGCCCAGCGCAGAAGAGCAGAATGTCCAGAGGACCAGATTTAACTTTTTCAGATTTTTCTACCTGGATTATTGAGCATGCATCAGGATGTGAAGTTTAGTTTAAAAAATGTCACCTCAGGTTAAGAACTAATAATAATAATAATAAGAAGAAGAATTAATAATTTCACCATTGAAATCTCTGAAATTAAACATAGAAGTACAGAATACAGCACATTATACACCTGTCAACAGTTTAAAAACAATCTAGAGCAATGGTTCAGACAAGCAAAGACCTTGTTTTAAGTTTGGCTTTTATTTGTGCTGGGGTAATTAAACTATACATGCAGACTCTCCCACTGGTACATTTTCATCTTTAAATCACTTCTTGGTCTGCTGCCTTCATACATCTCCTCCTACATGTCTCTGTGTGAGTGCAGCTACAGCGTGCGCTCTCAGGACATCATTACCTGCAGTGTTCCCTCAGTGAGGACTGAACTAGACAAAAGGACCTTCTCCTACTCCGCTCCTGTTTCCTGGAATATCTTGTAAAAACATCTGAAGCTCTCGACCTTTGACCTCTCTAAGTGGCTTCAAACATCTGTTAAGTTCCTGCAAGAACCAATGCAGACATGTTTTTAGTATTTTACATTGCTTTTTAATGTAGCTGTTTTTGTTTCATTTTTAATATAATTTCTTCTATTTACTTTTCATTTTATATGCTTTAAATGATTGACTATTGTTATCTGTACCTCATCTGTGTTGTTTGTTTAAATCAGGTCCCTCTTGTAGACGAGTCCTCGAGGCTCAATGAGACTAACCTGCAGAAATAAAGGCTGAATGAAAGTGTACGCGACACTCCGTCTAGTGACCGACAGAAAATATTATGAATATTGTGAAAACTAGAATCTAACCACACTAAATCTCTTGATAATTTTGGCCCACACTTCTTTACAACATCTATCCTGAGACAATCTAGTATAGTTTCCTCTGAGGGAACATTGCTCTCTATTTGTGTAATCCACTTTTGTTTTACTTGGACATCCAATAGAAAACAATTTTTGCACCAAAGACACTCATCTTTTTTTTCTACACAATCCTGGGCTGTGATCCATCCCACAATACTGGATGAGTCTCTTAAAGTCGTGGTTCCCAACCCTGGTCCTTGAGGAACACCATTCTGCATGTTTCAGTTGTTTCCCTGCTCCATCACGCCTGAGTCAGTGATTTAATTACTTCAAGTTCTGCAGAAGTCTGTTATTCATCCATTCATTCAAATCAGGTGTGTCAAAGCAGAGAAACAAGTAAAACATGCAGGATGGTGTTCCTCAAGGACCACAGCTGGGGAACCACAGGTTCATGTAATGTACCAAACAGCCACAGGAGGTCAACAGTCTCATTCAACTCACGGGTTTGTGTTTTATGTTCTGTTTGAAGAAACAGTTGAACTGAACTAAAGTTAAACAGCTGTCAGTGAATTGTTGCTAATTGTTTCATTTAGGAGTTGTTTTTATTCTAATTTTCACCAATTTCAATGGTAAAAAAAAATCTGTACAATTGTTACTTTTGGTTCTCCACAAAAAGCACAAGTTCAGTTTAATTAGTTAAAAGATGACAACCACGTGCTAAAGATATGCACGAGTCTATGAGGGTGTCTGTTAGTAAAATATCTCGTCGAAAAGTCGACAGGATTTAATGAAAGTGGCAAATATTGTTTTTTGGATGTCCATCTACTGATGAACTTTTAGAGCCAACACAGTTCAAGATGGCCAAAAAGGACACCAAACTCAAAAAGGACTTAGTTTAAAAGAGCTCAAGTTTGGCGTGGTAGTAGCTGAGAGTCATCCACAACATGTTCCAAGCATGTCATGCTGCGGTTCCTCAGGATGTTTGTTTTTTAAGGTTTAACATCTGCAGCTCGTTGATTTCATTACAACTCTCACATGGAAGGCGGCGGGTGATAAGCATTCCGGACTGAGAGCTGCATTCTTGCTGACACGAGCACAAAGATGTCCATGTTCACCCTCCCAGTGGTTTTAAATTCCAGCCTGGTGGTGCTGCACGGAGAGGGATCAGATCAGATCAATCGTCTCCAGATTATCCAGGAATCGATGTTCGATGTTTTGGTGTTCATCCTTTCACTCATTCTTAAAATCCATTTGCTTTTTTGGGTTTGTTGTACAAAAATGGGCATATTTTTCTGTTTCTGACATGTTTCGTCACCACAGGTTCTGTGGAGCATGACACCACATCCAGAGCTGTTGTTGTTGTCAGACAGGGGGGGGGGGGGCAGTAACAGCTGTAGATCAGATTTCAGCAGCTAAAACCGAGGCGGACGGAACCATCGCCCTGCAGGGAGACACCAAAACCACATTCGTTCCTCTGATCCCACCACAGCTCCACATCTGGGTTCAAGGATCTCACAGTCACCCGTCACAGTTTAACCTTAATCAGTTCTGTTCTGGGTGAGGGATATGGACTGGTGCCTCCTAGAAGGATTCACACTCCCCCCCCCCTCCAGCTGCCCCTGAATGGACCAGTCCACCTCTTTATCCAGGATCTGAGGAGGAGGCAGAGCCACATTCAGTGATGAGCAGAGCTGAGTTCACTTCATCCTGCTGAGTCAAACCTGAGGTACACCAGCCCCAAATCAGTCCTGAGACCCTCAAGCACCCCCTCCACAGCCCGCTGCAGGTCACCTGTCAGAGCTGCGAGGAGCTGCTGACACCCAGAGAGGAGAAGAGGGGTGTGACAGGGGGAGTCAGACCAGCAGACAAGCTGCTGCTGCAGGGGGAGGACGTGCAGGCGATGCACCAGCCGAGGCCAGAGGTCAAGAAGAAAAGAGAGAGAACCGTAAAGAGGTAGACTGACGGAGAGGAGGGTCGATTGCGATCCGAGTCAGAACCCCAGCCTGTCTTTGTTTGGGCCACAGAGCGGGGAGGAGGATGTGAAGGAGAGCAGGGGGCAGAGGAGGATAAAAAGACAAGAAATGCTCTCAGAGATCATGTGCAGGAGGATCTTCCAGCAGCAGAGGCTGCAGGAGAAGGAGGTTGGCCTCCGCAGGAAGAGCTGCAGCGGGCGGCTGCAGGGGCGGAGGACAGGGGGGGGAGGGTGGCCCAGGGGGCGCAATCCCCCCCAGCACTATCAGCGTCATCATCATCATCAACTCCCCCAGAGGAAGGGGCTGTCCCTCCGTCCCGTCAACGTGAAGGGTTTTAGAGCGAAGGGGATGCAGGCCCCCAAAAACACCAACCAGTTCCTGATGCACGAGAAGTACCAGATGCAGCACCTGCGGTCCGACTCGGTGGGGAGCGACTGCAGCTGCAGCTCCGACAGCGACGACCTGGAGCTCACAGACATGGACTCGTACCTGGGAGTCCTGGAGAACGCCCGGGGAGCCCTCCTGGACAGCCCCAACCCACATGACTCAACGGCGCCCCCTGAACAGCTGCTGGTACTGCACCGGGACAGTCCCTGTCTCCACCGGGACAGACCCTGTCTCCACCAGGACAGACCCTGTCCACACCAGGACGGTCCATTCCTGCAGGAGGACAGCATGCAGTACTTCCCCTCAGAGGACGACCTGCTGCAGAGCCAGAACTTCATGCAGAGGGACTTTGTTCAGTTCTGTGACTTTCTGTCTTTGTGAGGGGGAGCTTTTGTTCTCAAACTGAACCGGGTCAGGTTTGTTCTGATTCATGTTCTTTTTGTTTTGTTTTGTTTTTGCAAATGAAATAAAAGTTACCTCCGTCATGACAAATCATTTAGCCTCAAGTCTGAGAAATACTCTCAAAGGAGTAAATGATTTCCCTGGTGTCCAAAAAAACACAACTTTTTCTAAAGTATTTGTGAAAGAAATTGTTTTGACTCGTTTATTTGGTGACATGTTGTGAGATTTTGTGCTGTAAGTGCCTCTTTCTGTTGTTGTTGTTCACAAAAGGAAATGGGCTGGATGGTGGGAGTGAGCCCAAACAGCCAATCAGCATCGACTCGGACTGATGAGGCTGCAGCTGATTGGCCGACAGAGACTGTCTTTAACAGAGAAGCCATTTGATGTACAGAATGTTAAAAAAAATAAATAAATGTTTGTTGAAACCTGAGCTGAGTGGATGTTTCAATGGATTTAAATGAGGAGAGTGGAAGTAAAAAAAGGTGAAAGTGAAGCGATAACAGGTCACGTGTTGGAGCTGAAGAAACAAACTAGTAAAATGAAAAACTTTATTTAAGATAAACACACAATGAACGAGTCCTAGATAAATATATTTAAATAAACGGAAACACTGGAGTGGCTTTGTTCCGGCTGAAGTTTGAGAGGATTATGTAAAGTAAAGTGGGCTCATCAGGACGGCCTCGGGGCTGTGAGGCTCTTTGTGCTGAAGATGGTGACACAGTGAAGAACGAGCGCGTCCAAAAACATCAGGCTGCTGTTCACAACGAGAACAGGAAATACAAACATTTAAATCATGACTAAATATTCAGATTTAGGGGCTGGCACACCACCTTTTGATGACAAAAGTTTTAAGCAACAATCTGATGTGACCTTTTAGCACTTAGTACGAGATGGGAATCACTCAGCAACCACCACAACAAACTTGGAGCTCATCATCCGTAAAATGGACAGCATGCAAACCGCTCAGACAACTGTCAGTCTCACATGTCTTCATCTCCTTCCTGTTGAAGCCGCGTCGACCAATCACGTCACGTGTTCACGCAGTCAGCCAATAGCGCGCCTAACGAACTCTTTGAGACACGCCCACAACAGACAGGAAACAGCTTGTGAATTTTGTTAGCGCACTTAAAAGTTGGTGAAACCTACCGGTAATTTAGCGGAAGCTAATTCCGCTAACGGTTTCCAAAGTTAACGAAATCTCGAATCTGCTAAAAGAAAAATAATTCCTGTGTTAGCTGTTAGCGGGTTAATGGAACCGTGCCCACCACTGCTTAAAAACCAAACTTGTTCTTTTAAAACTAGGACTGTGTAAGCACCATTTATATAAAAATATAGTTTAAGTCTAATATTTGATTTTGAAACATATTTATGTTTGTTTAAATAAAGTTTGGTTTGAGTTACTTTGTTAGCCTACCAGGCTTCCGTAGTTTCAGACAAGAAGTTTGACACAGAAATGTGTAAGTTCAAATCCAAGACAGATGTAAAAAATAAAGAATAAAAGGAGCTACGGCAGAGCGACACGGGTGTTTTACCGTGTTGCAAACAAGCCGTCTCAACGCGTCAAAAACAGCCTCCTCTCCTTTGTTCATGATTTAAGATTGTTATTTATGAAGGTAAGAAAAATAAAACTTTGATCCTACAGACTAACTTTTAGAAACAGGCACGGCGAGCATGTTGGATTTGTCAACATGTTTGCTATTATTCTGTTGAATCAACGTGGATAAAGAAGAAGAAAAGTTTCTGGGTTAATTTTAAGGCCGGCAGCTGCTGGGTCGTTTTTCTTTTCTGCATTTTATACAAAAAGTTAGAGCTCAGTTACTGTAACAACTGATGCCACTTGATGGTTGATATGTGCTGCTGACTATCCATGATGCTGATCTCATGCTGCTGATTTATCTCATGCTGCTGATTTATTTCATGCTGCTGATTTATTTCATGCTGCTGATTTATTTCATGTTGCTGTGTTCATTCGTCCTCCTCTGCTCACACAGACTCATGTTCGTGCTTCTGTTGTTTGGCACATTGTTTTGTGCTATTAGTGCTTAGTGTATTTCTTAATTCATAGATCTTATTACTGTTTTTCTTTACAATTAGTATTTTTGTTGGATGTAACTGGGACCCTATGTACATAGTTTTGTTCCACCTCATGTACCACATGTGGTGTGAATGACAAGACACCTTGACCTTGACCTTTGATTTCCAGCAGAGCTTCGCAGACAGCAAAGTGTTTGTGTGTGCAGGATTTGGATTCAGATGTAGAACAAAAACAAAAGTGACTTCCTGTCAGCAGCAGGTTGAAGCTTCTCAGTTTGACCTTTGACCTGCAGAGTGGCTCATTAGAGGAATCCATACTGAGGATGTGATGATAACACACACACACACACACACACACACACACACACACAGATCAGAACCTCAGTCTGCTGAACTGAATCCACTTCTGCTCCTTTTTGTCATTGATCAGCTTCTGCTTCAAAGCTCGAACTCTTGCAACACTTCCTCTGATGTGTCAGCTGATGCTGCAAACAGGAAGTGACACACACACACACACACACACACACACACACACACAGGAGTGGTGAAGGTTGTGTTTGTGTGGGATTACAGACAGATCAGACACCATGAACATTTCCGCTGCTAGCCGAGCTCGCACTAATCTGCACTGATAAAAACGTTCAGATGTGTTCACAGACCCGAGCAGAGCTCCTGATCCAGTCCTCACTGTGACCTGCTGTCCTCTCATATGCATTCCTTCAAGAAGTAGTTCCACTTCCCCTTTTCCTTCAAGGCCAAACTTAAAAAAACATTTTAAATTTGTATTTTATTCATATTTGTATGGGGAGTGGTGGCGCAGAAGTTAGACAAGGTGGGCCTGTGACTCCCCGGACCGGTCCAACTCCCCCAAACAGCAACATCAAAATGTGGGTGGGGCAGGTGAAACACCCACACCTGCCTCCACCCTCATTTTCCCCACTCTGGGCCCTTGAGCAAGGCTCTTAACCCCCACCATCTGTTCCTCCGGGCGCCCTAGCTGGCAGCTCTCTGCTCCACTCAGAGGCTGTGGTAGCTCGGTGTCTGTGGTTGCGTCAGAAGGACATCCGGTGTAAAAACAATCACCAGGTCTTTGTGCGAGTCAGTCCGATGTGGCGACCCCTGAAGAAGGAAAACATTTTTATTCATTTTTGTCCAGATTTACTAAAGCTCTTTGATTTTAGTTAGACATTGGTTAAAATATGTAAACATAGAAAATGAATAAAAGCAGCCCAGGTTAAAAGAAAAAGGACAAAAACAACGTGCAGAAAGAATTCAGAACTTCACACGTCTTGAAAAGATCCGGACCGGACGGAATGAAATGATAAAAACCTTCACTGCTGCCTTTGACCTCTGACCCCAAACTTTTAAAAACCTGATCTTAACCGTCATCGTTCTTCGTTTTACTACATAAAACAAACAGTCGTGCATGCGCACATGCACAGTCCATGTACACAAACTGAAATGTCAAGTCGGAAAGCCTGCTTCTAAAAACAAGTTCAGGCAGAGGTAGTGAAAATACAACGGCCTGACAGATCCCTGACACACCCACCCACACACACACACACACACACAGAGGTTTGTTTTGCTATCTTTGTGGGGCCTTTGCATTGACTTCCATTCATTTTTCATTCATTTCTATAGCCTAACCATGACCTTTATCCATAACCTAACCATTACCAGTACATACCTAACCCTAAACCTAACACATCCTCAATTCACACCTTAGTCCTAAACCTAGCCCCTAACCCACCAACGGGACTTCTTCTTATGGGGCCCGGGCTTTGGGCCCCATAAGGAGCAGTTGGTCCCCACAATGTAGTATAAGTTGGAAAAATGGGCCTCACAAAGTAGCATAAACAAGGACACACACACACACACACACGGGATAAAACAACATTCCTAACATCTGTTCCTGATGATCATTTACCTGATGAGCCAACTCCTCAGCTGTATTCACAGATTCGTGGTCTGAAGTGTCCTGACTTGATTTAGTGGTGGTGAGGAAGGAGCTGAGCTGAAAGGGAAAGCTCCAGATTTACGGCTCCCTTTATGAGCTGGTATAAATGCCAACATCGCTGTCTCGACGTCACCGTCTGCACAAGCCACAGATCGGGCGTACGTAAACTTTCAGATCGAGTGTTCGCGACCCAACCCCATGTGGCTGAGGTTTCTGCAGCCGGGTTTCAAAATCACAGCCAACTGTCGTGTGCACTTCTTACAAAACTATTATTTTGTTTTTCACATCAGAGCAGTTTAAGTACTGGAGAACACTTTAGCAAAGAAGACAGATTTTTATATAAATTTATCTTTTACACCTGGACATGGAAGCTGAGCTGTAAGACAGAGCTCTCTGTTTACTGGTCAGTCTACGTTCCTCCCCTCACCTCTGGTCATGAACTCTGGTAGAGACTGAAAGAATGAGATCGTGGATCCAGGAGGTTGAAATGAGTTTCCTCTGCAGGAGCGGGACTCTCCTTTAGAGACAGGGTGAGAAGTTCAGTCATCAGGAGAGACTCAGAGAACCACTGCTCCTCCACATGGAGAGGAGCCAGTTGAGGTGGTTCAGGCATCTGGTAAGGATGTTCCCTGGGTGCCTCCCTAGGGAGGTGCTTGGAGCATGTCCGACTGGGAGGAGACTCCAGGGACGACCCAGGACACGCTGGAGAGACTTTTGTGTCTCTCGGTTGGCCTTGGAGTCCACCGAGAAGAGCTGGAAGAGGCTGTGGAAAGAGATGTCTGGACCTCCCTGCTCAAGATGCTGCCCCTGAGACCTGAGTCCAGGACAAGAGGAAGATGATGGATGGATGGATGGATGGATGGATGGATCTGGACATTCCACTGCAGGCTTCAAAATACAGCTTTGCCACTTTTGAGACAATTTGGAGACACCAGAGACAAACTGAGACAGGTTGGAGACACCAGAGACAAACTGAGACAGGTTGGAGACACCAGAGACAAACTGAGACAGCTTGGAGACACCAGAGAC